CGCGGTCCGGGCCCGAAAGCGCGGGGGACGGCGAATGTATTGAAGTGTATAGCCCTGCTTTATTGTGCTCAGCACCCATTCTGAAATCCCCGGGATAGTTTCCCACGCAGCTATGTGAGCCGCTAGGGGGCGAATGGCCTCCGGGTTCAGATCGCGCCGTTTGCGGGCTTGTGAAACTGAACCGGAGCTGAAAGCGTGGCGCGCGCGCTCTCGGTTCTGGGCAACGGCTGCTCGCTGAAAGCCGAAACCGGCTGATTTATGTGAGATGTCCCAATCATAAGGGATGGGGAACCTTTTCTCCTCACTTTTTGACGCTCGAGCGGCGCTTTGGGCGGAAAAGCGTCCTGTAAGCGTGAGCGCGTTTGCGTGGGCACGAGACTTACAAGTGTATTTGTCGTCCCGATCAAAATGGATGGGGAGCGTCTTATTAATGCCCTGCATTTTGTGATAGCACTTAAACGCGCGGGCGGCGGCCGGGGGGAGGTTTGTGTTAGTAAGCGTGAACGCTCTCTTGCGGGCACGAGACTTACATTCATAACCTGCTTTCTTGACCGTGTAACAGAGCGGGCAGATAGTGGGCACAGACTGGGTCTCTGGGTCGCCGTGAAAACGGCGTTTGTGTGCAGGCGAGAGGGTGGACAAACCGGCTCGTTGGCTGCTAAATGAACCACTGCAGTAGCCTGTTTGAAGGGGACTGACAGGGAAATAAACGTTGACGGCGGTCCGGCCGCGGCGGGACACGCGCGTCTTTTCTCTCTCTTTGTTAGGAGGACTTCGCGTGCTCAGACTTCAGCGTGATCTTCTGCTGAGGCCCCCTGGGGGGCGGCGGTCTGTGACGGCGGTCTGTGACGGCTGTCTGAGCGCGACCTAGGGCCGCCGCCCTGACGTCGCTGCGAAGGCTGAGGCTGTGCTGGACGCTGGGTGCTAGCTCGTACAGGAGGCTGGCCTTGTTTCTTGCGAGAGCGGCCTGTAGCGGAGCTCGAGCGTCGCGGCAGGAAGAGGTTCATGGCCTGCGTGGTCTTTTGTACCTCAGAGAAACGGTCAATGATCCCGTTTACCGCTGGGCCGAAGAGACCAGTGGGGGAGAGCGGCGCGTTCAGGAAGGTGGCTCGCTCAGCTTCCCTCATATCCGCGAGCGTCAACCAGAGGTGCCTCTCTGTTACAGTCAACGCGGCCATGGCTCGTCCGATGGCTTGAGCTGCGGTCTTGGTGGCGCAGAGTGAGAGATCCGACGCACTTCTCAGATCTGTAACCGCAGCTGGATCCCGGCCCTTCTCATCCCATTCACGGAGGAGGTCGGCTTGCAGGATCTGTAGCACAGCCATGGAGTGGAGAGCAGACGCGGCCTGGCCGGAGGCGGCATATGCGCGGCCGACCAAGGCGGACGTGGCTCTGCAGGCTTTCGACGGGAGGGCTGACCGTGACCGCCATCTCGCGGAGGGCCCTTCATTGGGCGTGACATCACGCGGGGCTCACTGGTAGGCTTCAGCAGATGCCAGCAGGGCAGCCAATGAGCACGTGAGATGGCCTGCTCTAGGTCTGCTAGCTGCTGCACTGCGTTGACAATGAATACAAAATTAAAGGATTAGTTCACTTTTAAAAAAACTTTTGCTGATAATTTACTCACCCCCATGTCATCCAAGATGTCCATGTCTTTCTCTCTTCAGTCGAAAATAAATTAAGGTTTTTGATGAAAACATTCCAGGATTTTTCTCCATATAATGCACTTTACTGGGTACCAAACGGTTCAAGGTCCAAATGACAGTTTCAGTGCAAACTGCAAACTGTTCAAATGGTTTTAAATGACACCAGACGATGAATAAGGGTCTTATCAAGCGAAACGATCGCTCATTTAAAAAAAAAAAAAAGTTTAAGTTTTATAAGCTCACATGCTAGCCTCGCTCTGTTCTGTGTAACTCTTCTGTTCGAACTCGTTCATCAAAATGAACAAATCTTTTTCCGAGTCAATTCGTTCATTTCGGTCGTTAAATGAATCAAATGACTCGAAAAAAGATTTGTTCATTTTTTGATGAACGAGTTCGAACAGGAGAGTTACACAGAACAGAGCGAGGTGAGCTTATAAAACTTTAACTTTGTTATTTATTTTTTAAATGACCGATCGTTTCGCTTGATAAGACCCTTATTCATCGTCTGGAATCGTTTAAAGCCCTTTGAACAGTTTGCAGTTTGCACTGAAACTGTCTTTTGGACCTTGGACCGTTTGGTACCCAGTAAAGTGCATTATATGGAGAAAAATCCTGGAATGTTTTCATCAAAAACCTTAATTTCTTTTCGACTGAAGAAAGAAAGACATGGACATCTTGGATGACATGGGGGTGAGTAAATTATCAGCAAAAGTTTTTTTTAAAAGTGAACTAATCCTTTAAGGATAATTTTTTGGCTTCAATATCTCGAGAAGATGAATCTTTCCCGCAATACGAGAGAACCTCTCGTAAGAGAACTGCGGACTGCAGCATTAAGTAAAGAAAGTCACAATCACTCTATATCACTATTTAATTTCAGATATCACTTGATTTAAATTCATTTCAGTAACTTTTGAGTTCCATCTTTTAAACTTTCCAAGTTTTAAACTGTGTCATGTTTCATTAGACTGATTTCAGTATATATTTTGAAGTATTTGCTCAAATGCATAATGCATATAATCCTTAAAACTACGGTAAAGACAATAGCTCAAGGCCCTGTGTGCTAAAAAAGTAATTTATGATTATTTTAATAAAAATGATATGGTAACAGGGTTGAAATTTAAGTGTTGCGAAAAGTTACAGGGGTTGGATAGATACATTACTTTTGATTAAAGATCAGGCCAATAATGTGACAAATGCTCAGGAACATTGTTGAATAACATTTAATAACATCTTATAACAGTCCATCTGTCAGTCTGTGTCAGTTCGTCTGTCTGTGTGCAGTATATTAAAAGATTTACATTAAGTATTTATGGATTTGCAGAGTAGGGAATGGGTTAGGGAAGATGTTTATTAACCTAATGTTTATAAAATGAGCTCAACATGATTTGGTAACACTTAACAATGAAGGGCAGTTTGGCCAGATAAGCGATAATGAGCAAAGTGCTTATTAACTACCTGGTTGACATAAAAGGGGAAACAAATATATTCTCTAAAATACAGTATGTAAAACTTCAGATACAGTTTTAAAGCTGATATATTTTGATTACTTAGCTCACTTTCCTCATCTTTACATATTTTTTCTCACATTGAAGACAATATTTAGATTTGGATTTAGATTTAATTTTTAGATTTAATATTTAGATTTTAGATTTAATATTTAGATTTAAGATTTGGATTCTAGATTTAATATTTAGATTTAGATTTTAGATTTTAGATTTAAGATTTAATTTAAGATTTAGATTTAAGATTTAGATTTAGATTTAAGATTTAGATTTAATATTTAGATTTAAAATTTAGATTCATATTTTTTTTAACATATTGTTGACAATTGCAAAGAACGTTGTGTTACACGAATTTCTGTCTTAAATGTGAGAAAAATAAGCGAAATGTGAGGAAAGTGAGCTAAATAATTAAAATATATCAGCTATAAAATTGTATCTGAATTTTTACATCTGGCAGTGGCACCCCATAGTAATACATTATAACATGAAATGCTATGTATGCTAAATTATAATCAAAATTGTATTAAGTATTTAGCTGAACTATTGATAATATATTGTCCCTTATGAGTGGATTGAAGGTGATTCAACCCTGTTACTCTAATTATGGTGACAGGGTTGCGAGTAACAGGGTTGCAAATTAATGCTATGTTAGCTTTTTCTCATGAATAGAAGCTAGCTGATTTGCTAGCTCTACTGTCATCTTTAGGACAAACTTATGTAAAAAAAAGAAGAAAAAAATGTAAATTAATTTGTCTTATTCGGATAAGTGTAACAGGGTTGCATAGAGTGACACATTCAATCAAGGTTAAAAGTTGTATAATAATATAAAAAAAAAGAAAAGAGAACATACTTTTATATGATTGTATAAAATGCTTAGTGATGTAATTTCCTGTGAATCATGTCACTCACTGTTTTTTTCTTCTTCTGCCAGGCTAAATATGTTTCGGTAACAGGTTTGCACGTATGTTGTGGGACATAACTTTATTGTAACATTTCTATTATTTGAAATATTTCTATGATTTAAAAAAAGAAATAACAATTAAAAGATGAATAAACAAAAGCATACAAAAAAGGGATATTTAAAATGTATTTTAACAGTTGTATTTAACATTCAATTTTGGTCATCTAGAAGGTGGGACAAGAGAAAAATGGCACTTGGATGAGACTTTTTTTTATTTTCAATAATATTTTTTGGTCTATTTATCTATTTAAGTCTATTTATATTTAGTCTCAGGACAAGGGTTTTTTACACAGTGACTGCATTTTTTGTATAGCCTATTGTACATAGATTATTTGAAATTTGATAGGTGGGACATGAAATGTCCTTCAATTCTGGAATGACCCTCATGTAGAAAACATGCATTTGTCTGGGACAAGAAGATAGCCGAGCCGACTGCATTTAAATACCGACTGCCACCTTTAATACTGAATCGTATGCACATAATTGTATGTAGAATATGACAGGAAAAGCTTTTTGTATATCATATTCCAGATGAACATTAACCCTCAAAACAAGAAAACACCTATTATTTGGCTGCCTTCTTTCAACCGCGGTCTGCCTTCAAAGCTCACGTCTCTCTCTCGCTGTCAACCAATCGGATTGTGCCATGTTGGGACCGATGAACCAATCGCAGCCCACAGCGAGGAGGAAAACTTGTCTCGGATGATTCTCAGCTAGGGTGTAAATTGTTGCGTGTCGCGATGGGAGAAATAAAAGTGGGAAGTGATGAACAATAGAGCGGGGTGTTTCCGGGAGGCGCCAGAATTCCCGAACAACTTTCGTGGTCTTTGCATACCGATAGTCTGCCAAGCACACAGTTAATTGTTGCCGCACACAGCCCGTTCAGTTCACACCAGCTGCAGGCTTTGTGTCAAATGAGAGTTTTAGGCGAGATCGCCGAAGAGGGAGAATCAAACAGCCGGCGTCCTGTTGTCAAAAGATTTGCATACGGACTTCCGCCCCCTGAATTTAGTTTCTGCATCAACTAGCAAAGGCAGAGTGGGCAGACCTGAGCCCTTCATTTCAGGCGCAGTCATGCGGACTTGACATTTAAACTCGGTTTAATATTGGACATGAACGGCACACGCGTGTATTTCGGATGGTCCCGATGGATTTGGATTAAACGGAACACTGGGATCTGACACAAGCATTCTGAGAAGCGTTTACTATGCTGGATATCTGCCGGCTCTTGTGGATGTACCGTGACTGTTTGCGGTTACTTCCCGTGTAGAATTGGGATCTGATCTCGCATTGGACTCAGTTGGGTATTTTGTAGCAGGGAAATGCATCGGGCGATGATTTAAAACAGGGGATTCCACGTCAGTTTCGCACTCATCTGTTTGGAAAGTGGGATACAGCCAGATCCTCCAACCCAGTCCGGTGTATCTGATGTCGGAATGCTCTGATGTCTATTTCAATGTGTCATATTAGAAGAGTTGACCATCTCTTTTGGATGGAGTTTAACCTCGCGATCTTCTTTTGACGTCTTGGACAGTGTGGATGCATTTTTTGATCGTTTTTAGGTTGGATTACTTGTTTTTTGCCTACATTTTTACAGGTTGGATCTCGTTTATTTCGGGTATTTAAACTCGCTGCTTTCTGTGTAACTACTGTTGAAATCACACGTTTCATTCTTGTGATTCGTTTTGACGATCCGCTGGGTGAAAATACTGTGTGATCTCTTGTTTAATTCATTTATTGTTCGTTGAAAGCTTTTTTTGCACACCATGACTTTCTTGTCCGGGGCAGCGGTTCTGTTGCTGCGTGGACTCGTCATCTCTGCGGTATTGGGCTTAGAGAGTTCATACACGAGTCAGCTGTCGAACCGAGTCACTCCTGATCCAGCAGCTGTTGCTCCTACAGGTAAGACCTCTGTATCTTAACAAACCACAAATCTGATCAACCTGCGCTATTCTATTTACACCAGACACGGATAGATAAACGCATATGCTCGATTGTCACTGCTGTTTTGATGAGTGTTAAGGGAATGTTGACATTGTCACGGCACCATGGGTCCTGATGTGGGCATGATCTCTCTTATCCTCGCATCGCTTCTGGACGATTCTAGAGAATCTTACCCTTCCTGTATTTGTGACTGTTTACGAAAGTGATGAAGGTCAGGACAACATCCACATGGAATTCCCGCTGTTCCACCAATAAACGCTTGGCATGAGAGAGCAGGAGGGAATCCCACAGTCAGGCAGCAGCTTCATGAAGAGAAACCACCAGATGGGGTTTTCCATGGCCACTGGCTGATTTAGGCTAATGCATTTTCAAAATTGACATTTATTTTACACAATATTCAGTAAACAATTGAAACAGTATGTGCATTCATTAACAATACTATGGCAAGCCATTTTAACATTTATTGTTTTATTTAGTATCTATTTGTATGTTACTAGTATTTTTATTTTTTAATAACTAATAAATAATCCAATAGTGACTAGTATCTTTTTCAATATTAACTTCCATTAAACTAGCACTTATTCTAATAGTGACGACTAGTGTCTATCCAGCCAGTCACTAGTACTTTTGCTGCTAGTCTTTATTGTCACTCACTATCCCAATAGTCTATATTCCATTATGGCTAATTCCATTGTTTTTAGGTAGGTCCATTGTTCCATAGGTTCTAGTATACATGATTTATATGACTATAGTATACATGACTCAGAAATATCATGGCTAATAAAACTGTAATTTTTAAATCAACTTCTAATATTTGTATTGGACTATTATAATATTTCTAGTTGATTATTGTAGGTTTAAAAAGGTTTTTTGTCAAAACTGATGGGGCAGGAGTCACCCATTCATTGTCTAATGACACATTCTGAAACTTCCAAATATTGGCGGATTACATAGCTTTGGACTCTGTGAATTTAGTGATGACTGCATATAATCTCTTCAAATGGACATTTGATCTGCAGAAAGAGATCTTCTAGGTCACTTATGTATCCATCTTTTAGGTCAGACAAAAAAAACCTAAACTAAGGTTTGGGATTTATACTGACAGTTAGCATAAACAAACATGACTGTTTCAGTCAGTCAATCAGCCTATTCTGGTTCATAACCCCACAGCTGTTTTCCCAATATTAGTCATGCCTTTAATGACAGTGAATCGTTTCTGACGAGCAGAAGTCTGGTCAGAGCGCTTGCTGAGGGTGAGATGACAGATTGCTGTCTGTACAGAGCTACGAACTGCTCGTATGATGAATGCAATCCAGATCTGTGGTCATACAGGAATGTAGACTTAATCAGATGGGTAAATAATCTGCATGCGAATGGTAATTGAGTCATCAGAAATTAAATCCCTTGGACAAATTATTTCAGCTGTCGCCATAGTTTAGTGCACTCTAATGGACACTTGCAATTAATTGATTAAGGACAACAAGTGCACTACTGTTCCCAGCTACAACAACTCCTTGAATTCAGGAAACCCTTAGTTATAATTGTAATATATTGTATATTTAGCTTCTTGCACTTTTCGCAGCACTTTCAAAGTGAAATGTCCAGTGAGTGGCACTAAAATCACGTTCAGTTTTATCCGAAACAGATCCGGCAATATTTCATTAAGTTGGTTGTGACAGCTGCCGTGGCGAGTGGCGTTAAAAGGTGAATATGCTCTGTCGTGTTTGAACAGAGTTATTATTAACTGACAGTGTTAACTAAAACAAATGTGAGATAAATGCATTTGCTGCAGCAACCATACCTTTTTTTTTGCTTGCTTCTACAAGTCTTTGAGCTCTTATAGTGTGACGTGTTTTATTGGCCTCGTACCGAATATTCTCCACATCACAAGAGCAGTGCTTGTACCAGGTGAGCTACCAAGCAAGTTTACTATACATACATCAGAAAAGCCAAACATATATGGAGCTGTGATTATGCATTATGTGATGCAAACAAATGGATTAGTTTGCAAATCATGCAGAAAAGTGTTTGAGGTCATGACATGGTTTTGTGCAAGGAACCATCCAAGAATACTTATGAATCAATAATCTGCCCCTGTAATCATAATTTGTGTTGAAAGGAATAAAAGTTAAAACTGCAGTGAATTGCATGTGAATTATAGGTTTTTGGAGCAAAAATATTTTTCCAATGAGCCTAGATTGAACATTGACCATTACACAACCTTTTTACAGCTTACTTAGGGAGCTGATTTTGTCAACCTCCAAATGAGTCACTATACACACACACACACACACGTTTATTATAAGGACATGAGAAATGAGAGGGCAGTGTTTTCAGTATTGTTCTCCAGCCACTGATGAGTTTAAAGTCCCCCATCAATAATTGTATCCCTTAACTCATATTTGATCACCAAAATGGCATATTTAAACGTTTTTTTTTCCTGTGAAAAAAAATCTGTATGCCTTAAAATAGCTTGAATGTAACTCTACACCCTTGCTTCAGTTAGAAAACGTAATTCCATGAATATGCTATTTAGCCCCGCCCCCACTCAATTACGCCAGCTCACAGATTCACTTGGTCAAATTACTGAGGAAAACCTAACGGTAATTAATATGATTAGCCTTTTGCTTGACTATGTTATCAAACGGCTAATAACGTGTTGCTAATGTCAAACAAACCATGTTCCCGTTCGCCATTTCAGTCTGCCTTCTAACAATCATCAGAAACGCTTTGAACAACTCAGAACGTCAGTGGAGAAGGGCATATAGTTCATCATGTAATATACATCATACCAGGGACGGACTGGGACTAAAAAACGGCCCTGGACTTTGACTACGCCCGGCCCAAAGAAATCGGCGCGCGGAAACTCGACAACAATAACGCCTGCCGCCTGGCATGAGTGTCACATGACTTCAATTGTGGCTCATGATACTACCATCCAAATTATAGCTAACAGCATATTATACAATCTATTCCATGCTGTCTTAAAATGAATTTACTTAATAATCTTAATTAATTTATGCAGTAATTAATCTTAGCTACTGCACAAATAATAATACCACATCTAAATGAAAATAGGCTAGGCCCTACACCATTACAAATGTAACTTCTGTATTAAAAATATTCAAAGTTTGTAAGCATTAACTGTAACGTTACCAACATTTTTAAAAGTAAAAGCACAACATATTTCTTAATATTAGCTACTGCATGTTGCATTTTACAGCTAAAATGTTGAAGTTTAGCTGTTTTAACTACTGTAATCATTAAAAATGTAGCAAGCTGAATATCACTTCCTAACATCATCCCTAGCAAGTAACTTGCAAATTAATTTCTGATTAATTCGGTTCGGGAGTAGTAAAGATAAAAGCCAGCCCGCACTGGTTGGGTCCTTGTATGTGCTTCGTGAGGCACACACACACACTAGCACACACACGCAAGGTCTCTAGCTCGCTCCCTCTCTCTGCCGTGCGCGCGCTATGCATGCGCGCTCTTGCTCGCTCTAGATTCCGGGAGATTTTAACTAATTTGCGGGCATCAGGGAGCCGCTATTAATATGCGGTAGACTCCCGGAACTTCCGGGAGACTTGGTATGTCTGTGACTGCGTGTGTGGCGGGTGGTGGGCCGGCCCGCCGGCCGTCCTGGAGTACCGGCCGTTCTGTGATTCTCCAGATCACACAGATGGCCAGTCCGCCCCTGCATCATACACCTGCTATATTGCTAAATCTACCCGATTTTTCATATCAGCAAAAAAATATACCGGGATAACCTGCCATCTCTCGACCCCCCTGTTTGCTGTTAATGATATGCTAAAGCCCGCCAGCACGTTGACGGGATTGGTTACAAGGTAGTTTGTGACGTCAGAAACACCAGCGACTTCAAACCTTCAAACCTAGTCTTTTTTTCACTGCAGCTTTAAGGAGAAAATACTCAGCAATGGTGTTGATTAATGAATTTGTTTTAAATTGGTTTGTCTTAAAGCACATTATACATATAAACAACATTAAAAACTTGATTTTCACCACAGGGGGACTTTAACTGAAAGTTTAATATCAGTGAATGTGTATGTAGTGGCTGTGTTGGCATGTATACTTGTGAATTGTGCTTTACTCATTAATTTACTGAATATGCACAAGCATCAGTGGAAATTAAATTAAATGAATGCTGTCAAACCTGAGCAGTAGGACGTGACACCTACAGGGATACATCCAGTTCTGCTGGTCCGGCAGATAAAATTAGTGAGTGACAAATTAAGTGCTTGTCCTAATACATATTTACTCAAGCTGCTTTTTTTGTGTACTTAAAGTCTCCACTATATCAATAAGGGTGCAGTCATCATGAGATACAACCCATGAGGAATATTAGGACTTCTTGGAATTATTTTGCTTAGTAGAACACAGATGAGCTGTCAGATACCCTTTAAAAAAAAAAAATCTACAGTAAAAAACTGCCAGCTGTGGTTGCCAGAACTTTACAGTAAAAATACAATTATGATGCTACACGCTTTATATGAGGCATTTTGATTACTGTGTTTTACTGTTCCTAAATGTGTATGTAGACTGTCAATATACCATCCTATTAGAGCTATTCAAATCTGTTTGGTACTGTAACGTGCTGATAATGACGCAGGCGGACTATGAATGACTATAGGTCATCCAAATTGCCCTTTAACAGTATATGTCAAGCAAAGACATGAACACCACCATGGTAACACACATGATACCAGAATGCACTGCATTAGCATAACATATTCTGATAACAAAAAATAAGAAGAAATATATAACTAAACAAAATATAAACAAATTTGATGGTTTGTCCAGGCAATTCTAGAAATGCCCATAAATTATAAGGTGGTTAATGTTTTTTACATACACATTTGCCTTATGTTGCCTATTAAAATATAATATTTATCTGTAATTGTTTGATTCATTCATTCCAAATATTGTTTACAATATTTCTG